AAAGAGTGGATGTTAAAACCATGTTTGAGGTGGCATTTTCATTGATCAAATGAAGCAAGATCCGAGTTGCCACGAGAGTAGGTAGTTAAAACACAACCTTTACCCCTCCAAAGCAAAATAAGTTTGCTAGCAAAGGAGAATCATCCCGCACTGGTGGGCAGGGAATTGCTGCATCTGGGGTTTGGAGGTTTTTTTTCTCCTTTTTTCCTTTGCAGCTGCTTAAGAGTTGAAGTCCTGAGAGAGAATGTGGAGACCTGTGGTTGTTATGCATTCTCCATCCATTCATGCTGTATTTAACCATAACTTGGATCCGCACAACAAGGGAAAATAAAAACTTTCAACACTTGCTTGATCTTTAGAATAAACAGTCTTTTAATTGGCCAGGGTGTTTATTTTTGGTTCAGGCTTCAGGCTTAATACCAGGAAAAACTCTATCACAGTCAGGGTGTCCAGACTGTGGAATAAACGCCCTCCAGAGGTGGTGCAATCACCTACCCTGGAGGTTTTCAAGAGGAGACTGAACGGTCACCTCCCTGGGGTCACCTAACCCCAGTTGTCTTCCTGCCTAGAGCGGGGGGGCTGGACCTGATGATCTGCAAGGCCCCTTCCTTGCAAGGTCCCCAATCTGTGATTTAAGAGTAGCTTTAAAGAGCAGTGATTTTTGCATCCAGGTGACATATATGATTTGCATTTTAGGATTCAGCCAGTTCGCTCTGAACCTGTTAGCATGCCAGGGTCATCACGTCCAATGTCAGATCGGAGAGGAGTCTCAACGGTGATTGATGCTACCTCAGGTAGAGAGAGCGCACGTGTTGGTTTCACATTGTCTTTGATGTTCATGGTGTTCGCCTAGCTTTGCCTTTGCTTAGTAATGTTTTCCGCCTAAGCAGCGCCGTATCGCAGAAGGAATGTCCAGATCTGCAGCTGCAGTGTAGGTTGAGCGCTATCTAAAAATTAGCGAATGCATATTGAAGGGTACCACGCCGATGACTTCTTTTGCCTTTGATCGTTCAAATGTGAAGTAACTGCACTGACACGAAATGTAAATGAAATGTGTGCGTTCAATTTGCTTGACCCGTTAGGATATCAAAAGGCCCAAGCTAAAGAAGCAGAAGATGTGCAAGGGCTAACACTGGAATGCTTTTATTAGTGAAAGAGCAGTGTTAAGAAAATCATTGCACCATTAATCTCTGCCCATCACAGATATAAACACCCTTCCACCGAATCGGAATCACGTACGTCTTAGCAGCGTCTGTGAGCAAACACGACTACCGGATAGCCTAACCAATGCTTCTTGAGCAGGAAACCTTTTTGCTGATGCCTTTGGAGATGGAGAGTAAATTGAAGAACACCCTGGCTATATCTGTATCAGGAAAGTAGCAGATCTACGTGCCACAAAGTTTTCTTCTCTTTTTCTTTTTCTGCTCTGGTGTAGTAGGTGCAAAGGAACGAGAGCAGAGGGGTTTTATAGTCTCGCACAGCTGTATAGCATCTGACGGTTCCCCACAGCAGGATTTTGTCAAATAAAATCTCTCACAAGTAGAATTATTAAACACAGAGCATTAGTCAAACAGTTGAGTCAGAGAGGATTTTAATCTTTAGCGATTTGAAAATCCCTAGAGACTGCTGATTGGATTGAGGTTTAAACTGTAAAAGGAAACTGTAACACATACAGAAACTGATTTGTGAAGGTTGTTTTAAAGAGAGTTAAAATAAAAGCTCCTGTTCCGGGCTCTGTTTTCCATTGATATCAATGCGGAGTCCAGGATACCACCACGTTTGCCAACTGCATTGATATATTTCTTTTGGTGTCTTAAGGTTTTCCCTGGATCGGTGTCTGTTATTCAGTGTCATTACAAGCATATTCACATTTGATATTAGAGGTTCTCTCATCGATTTATATTATACATTTCTATTTTCAGAGGTTTAAATTGGCCCTGCTTGAAACGAGGCAAATGTTTAGAGCTGTTCACTCGGAGGAAACGTGTATATTTTTTTCTCAGTATCACCCATAGATTATCAAATACATTTTGGTTGTACTAAAATATTAATTAGTTGAGCTCCCTTTGGTTGGAGTTCATTTACCTTGTTAGAAATACACATTACACACTCGGAGTTAGTGGTAGCCTCTATTGGGATGGCTGAACATTTAAAACCAAATTATTAACGTTTAAATAATCCATCCATGGCAGTCAACTTCTCAAAATGTTCGGTGTGTTGGTTTTTGAAGATGGGGGGAGCAATGCAGTAAAGGGACTATCACTTGGATATTTCCCCAACTGGAATATGGTTCCCAAATGTCATTTTATGGCCGTGTTTTTCAGTTCCCACTACAAACATGCGAGAACACGGTTCCTTCTGTGTCAAGTAACCCTGTGCTTTTGTGTGGATGGGCCTTTAGTGTAAAGTGGATCATGTGGATGTGATGAAGCTTTATTGGTAATGCATTTAACATGTGGGTCTGTATTTAAATTGTTGAAGTCAATTATATACATTACTATGACACTAAAAATATATTTACTGCATAGCACTGACTCAGTTTTGCTGTAGCACCTCATAAGTTTCTTAAATAATGCATGGATTTTATGAGACATGCTGATCGCCATATTTTATTTAAGTCCACTGCCGAATTATTTGGATATGAATTGATTTTGGATTCAAGGACTTTAACCTCTGTTTGCAGCCTTCATATTGGCTGATCCCTGGTCCCTTCCCAGTCAGGGACTATAACTCTTTATTAAGGGGAGATTTGCAAGATTTACATTTGATGGTTTAGTGATGTGAACTCTCCCAAAGATTTAAGGACAAACAACAAAATGCCTGCCCTGTTTCTCAAGGTTTCTCTTCCTGCCACCTTTTAAGGGTTGTTTTTTTTTTTTTGTTGTTTTGTTTTTTAAACGTTGAATGGATGAGCAGAAAATTCCATTACGGTCGGTTTTGAATTTAAGGTTTTTATTTGAAAAATCTTCCTTGTGTTGCATTACAATTTGTCTTAAACCTGGTACTGTAAATATTCTCATTTCCTGCTATTACTGAGGCATGTCCTAAATGGCTTACGTTCTTTCTGAAAACAAGTTTATTGGAAAATACCTTTTTAGGTTTGAGGGATTTTTTTTTTTTAAGTAGGTCATAAATTTTTATTACCTAACCTGAACCAGGAAGTGATTCCTCAGTTATGACCCATGCATTTGAGTCTGTTGCACTTTATGAAGATGCTTATCTGCCTGTTTGATGGCCTGTTGCTTAGAGAAATGGCCTCTGTGGCGCCTCCTCTTATCAAGCTGCATCACTGGGTCTTGCCCTCAAAAGATTGCAAGTCCACGTTTATCATCTTTAATTGTTCTTGCAGCACGCTTTATAGCTTTCCCCTCCTTGATGGTGACAGCTCTGTCTTTATGTTTAATGCGACAACAGTGTACATATTTTTATGATTTCCGTCGCTGTCAGTGAAACCATGATACCATGGAGCGATGTCCTTACACTTAAAAAAAAAACCCAACCAACCCCTTTGTGCTGGAATGAATCTCAGTGAGATTCCCACTGTGGAGGAAGATACCTGTAGTATTAACAAATGAGAAAAACAGCCATGGACTTGCGTCATTATGGAAGACTCCAACTTCATACTGGGGCCGGGGGCTGGACTTGATGACCTTTCGAGGTCCCTTCCAGCCCTAATGTCTATGAAATCTCTAACTTGAAAAATAAATGTTAGTAATAATGGTAGGGCCTAGGTCTTCGTGGAGGTAAAAACTGACATATTTCTTCATCATATAGTCACTGAAGCAGCAAGAGGCGATGCCGTTTTAGCTTTGTTTTTGGTCACAAGTAAGGGCACCATGGAAAAACAGCCTTGGGTTTTGGAGTCGCACAGTTGATTCAAGTTTAAATTGAATGGAAGGATAAACAAAACTAGCGCCTGGCTTTTGATTTCGGAAAGACAGACGCTTTTGTTAGCAGAGTCAACTGGACCAAAGATCAAGAACGTCAATGGAAGTTTACCCCAGTTCTCAGGTAGGAGGAGGATGCCCCTGGGGGGTAGCAGCAGAACAGCTAATAGTCGTGAGCGTATAGAAATGGAGATTGCCACGTCTGATTTTGAAACAAAACTCAAAGGGCTTTTAATGGAGTCAGGTTGGAGGGACCAGATAATCTCCATCCCAGAAGTCTTAGGGAACTCAGTGAAACGCTGTCTGGGATACTGTGCATGCACAAGCCTGGCCACCCCTAGTCAAGAAAGATAAACTCAGGGTGGAGCAGCTACAGAATTGGACAATAAAACGGTTTGGGGAATCGAGGCCTTTCTTCCATGAAGAGACTTGGCTTGTTTATCCTAACAAAACGAAGGTTGGGAAGTGAGATGAAGACTTCTTGTAGATGGATAGGGGCCAAACACCAGGGAGGGAGAAGAGCTATTGAAGCTAAAGAGCACTGTTGTCAAAGGTAGAAATGTCTGTAGACTGGACATCAAAAATGGTGTATTGTCATAGAAGCATTTAGGTTCTGGAACAGCCTTCAGATAGGAGTACTGGGGGCAAAACAGCCTTGAACAACTTTTAAGATGGAGCTTCATCAGCTTGTGAAAAGGATCTCTTGATGCGTGTACCTGCAGTAACAGGAGACTGAATGCGTTTACCATTGTATCTTCCTGTGCGGTCTACAGAGTTGCATCAAGAGTAAAACCAAAGTAAGTGCATGCCAATCAAGGAGACTCTCTCGGCAAAGTTAATCATTGGGGTTTAACATTTGGTAAATCGAAAATGGTATTTTTTGCATTGTTATGACTGTTCGCATTCATGTGCTTATTTCAGTCCTAAATGTTGGTGGGCATTTAAAGTTGTTGCCACTCACTGAGCATGTTCTGTTTCTGGAGACGTATTATTTTTTTGTTGTGAAAAGACCCTAAGCATTGGAGATTACAGAGAACTGTTCCCAGTCTAACTTTGTATTTAGAGCTGGGCTGATGTTCACAATATCTACTTACGGTGGAACTCTGATTCATTCAGATCTGTGTAGCAGGCTATGGTACTGGACTTGGGAAATGCACATAATATCCCCGTTAATTATCGTCTTCTGTGCCCTGTTTGATTCATCAGGACATTCACCAGCCATTGCAGCATGATTCAACTGGTGAAGACTGCATAAAGCTTTTACACTGCCTAGTCCAGAGCTAAAGGAAAAAGGTGGAAGCGTCTCCTCCATGTTGCCCCTCAGCCTAGACTGAATTTGGACTTTTCCAAAGCATGCCACCTCTTGTTGGGGATGGACTGAGCCTGCAGCACAAAGGGACGTGCACGTGGGTTACGGAGGGGCATAAAGAATGACAGACAATGTCTACAGCTGGAGTGGATGTTTTGCCGTGAGCTCCCCCCCACTGCACGAGCAGAACATATAGGCCAGTGATTCTCTGCCAGGGTGCCGTGAGATTCTTTCACGGGTGCTGGAGAGCTGCCGTACCATGTTCGCACTGTTAGGTGCAGGAGCATGATTCCTATGACACAAAACCCAGAGGTTTCAAATAGGAAACCGTAGTGTTAAAAACCTTCTGACCTGATGTGGTCTTCCCCAGTTCTTTGAACAGAAGAATTGCTCTAGTATTTTTTTTTTCCTGTGGTCAAAAAACAAGCGAGAACAAAGCTGGCATTTCCCATGGGATGCCATGAGTCTGTTGTGGGCGGACTTGGGTCTAAAGAGGTGAGAGCCGCTGATATAGGCCAGCATCTTTGTTGTCTTAGCTGCTTGGTTCCTCTGCTATTGTGGATGTTTCTTAAAAAACCTCTCTACGTCCTGGCCAGTC